GACAAACTAATAGTACAGTACAGAAATCATTAAAATGGCAACCTCAATTATTAATTTTACCATCAACTGAAGAGATATGCAATTGGCTACTGGGTCTGATCAAGGCTTAGTCATGCTTAGTGCAGAGTGAAATTAATGAGACTTAATCACAATAAGCATAATTAAGTTGGGTATAACTCACTGTTTCATGAAACCTATCCTACCAAAGAACATGGAAGTACTTATTATATGGACAGCCAAACTTCAGATCAGGTTAGTAATGAGCTAAAGGAGTAACCTCTAGAAATATAATTGAAGAATAATACAGATCCCCTAAAAGGCAGAAGATTCTGGTGAATTAACTACATTCTCAAGACTATATTGGATTCTATAAGCAGGATTTAAAAATCTGCTTAAGTTTTCTTGGCCTCTGAAATTCCATTAAACAGTTTCTTTGCTTTACTGTCTAAAAGATAGTTATTGTCCCACACATCTAAACCCCTATTCATGTAACTCTTCTAAAGGGATAGAAATGGAAGATTTAAATCAAAGTACCAAAAAGAATAATATGCAACCATAGTTTGGGGTGGTAAGATTCATCTTCTATCCCATTCTCCTACAGAATAGGTTAGGCTCCTACAAAATAGATAAAATGGTTTAAATGGGGAAAGCACAGACACTTTGAAACGGAGAAAGGGCTAGACGTGTATTCAGACAAGTTCTCTTTGCCTCCACTTCTTCAACTATCAACCCTCAATATTGAGAAGATGCCCTCAAAATCTAGCCTTCATTAGCAACTGAACCAGAAAAAAGATCCCGCTTCTTCTCTCAGTCTTAGTTTTTGCAGTTTTCCATATTAACACCATTTTGTAGGGAAAGAAAAACAGAAAAAAGGAATAAAAAGGAACATAGGATGTAAATATTCAACACAAAAAACTACAACCATTTTGCCCAGACCATTTGAAAAAGGGGAATATTCCCCAAAAATCCAAGTAAAGTCCCATCAATCCTAATAGAAACTGCACCATGGCTACCTTATAATCCTGTAACCTTAGTTGTAGGTCACTAAGCAATGCTACCTTTCTCCCCTAATTTGAACAAAGTATTCAACCCTCAAGCAACCAAAATGCTGCAGGAACCAACCAAATTTGACTGATTACAATAAATAGTGTGGATAAGTTACACAATGCACCGTCTGTTATATTTTACATCCTTTTTAATTCAGTTATATAGAAGCATACAGATAACAAGAGGCCTGAATGAAAGCATGAAGAATAACAACCTTAATATCTCATTAGCCAGTCTCCTCATCCCAAAGAGCCAAAGTTCACACATTTCTTCCTGCTCCTTTTTGCATTACTTCCCTCATCCTGTACAACTGTACTAATATTATGATCAGCACTACTCTGAGTTAGTTTGATCCACAATTTGAAACTGAGGTTTGAAGCTGTCTTAGAAACCATACAGGGAGAATGGTTAGCATCTGCATTTAAATGTAGGATTGGAGAAATATCTTATTCCCATATATTTCCAGATCTTTTGACCATATTCTGGAAATCTAGAACACTCTCTGGGTTGTCCCGTTCTTCTGCTACTTTAAAGCTAAGCATAGATGGCACAGAATTTGGTGAAGACATAAAGCAAACAATAGTTACGGGTGAAAATAGAAGGTGGGATGGAATTCAAGATTTTTCTTGGCTTAGGAAACATTGCATTATATCTGCATCAAGCTGTGATAGTAAAACAAGGAAACAAAAGAGCAATTTGTGCAAAAGAAAAGAGGAAACGGCCCATGAGTCCACAACCACATGAGTCTTGTTACCTTAGCCATTGTCAAGATAAGCAGCAGCACTAAACGTGCCACAAGCAATTCTCTTCATCTACCAAGCAGCATCATAGAGAGCCCCGTGAAGCTCATTTGCAACAAGCACATTCAACTCCCTTCAGTGGTGTGCAAGTATTCATGGAATGGAACACATACCAATTTCCTCAAGCCATCAGGCAGTATTGTTTAGAATTTCTATTACACACATAGTTAATAAAAACAAATTGCTTACTTGATCTTTGATTTTTGATGAAAAACAGCTTCAGCCTCTCTTTAAATGTGTTTTCATTCATGTAAAATTCAACTTGTACTCTGAAAAGAGAAAAGAAATAGAGGAGAGGAGAGGATTAGATTTTAATTCCACTATGTTAAGATTATAAATCACAATAGATGCACACATATCATTTTGATATTTGGATAGAAAGAAGAATGTAAGGGCAGGTGTGTTTTTTAAACACTTCTGCACATTACATTTCCAGGAGGTCACTTGAAAACTTATTCTAGTGACAGAGAATTTGAAAGCGTCAATTCATAATTTATCTTACCCTGTAATCATTAGAATGCCATCTAGCCACTAACTGGGTCCTGGAGCTTTAGCCAGCCCTGACTCTGGTTTTATGGCATGGCCGATTACTATGAACAAATCCACTACTGGGCAGCTAATGGATATAAGCACAGCTTCACAAAAGAACACTAATGTTCTCTCCTGGCTGGAAGTCTCTTCACCCAGCTTTGGAAGGCAACACCCTTAAGATTGTGGGAGAGTCAGAGAAACAAGAAGTAGCAATTTGAATTTGGATAGGGAACTAAGAGCTGTAAATTTAGCTGGCCTAAAATCATTATGTGGATCTATTTCAGCCTTTCCCAGTCTGGTGTCCTCCATGTGTTTCAGGCTAGAGCTCCTCGCATTCCTGGCCATTGGAGTGAACTCCATCAAGGCACCAGGTTGGGAAACATTGTTCTGGAATCGAGGCTTCGCAATCTGGTGCAAGTGGAACAAACATTGCAAAGTGAATGTTAAATCACCAGAATGTTACGTTTGTTTGCTCATTCATGGAAAAGAAAACTTTATACTGTTTGAAAAATTCAGGACTCCTCATTGTTTGAGAAGCTGAGGAGCCACTAACCCTGGACATGTTATATTATAAGGGGGGAAATGCATTGTAGAGGAAGCAGGGCTATGCCATTGGTTCCCACCCCCGATAGCACAGAGTTTCCCCAGACCCAGTGTTATGGATGGGAACCTGCAGCGGGGAAATTGCCATGTGTGGGCCTCCATGGGGGCTGGAATCCAAATGAGGAGCAGAGTTCCCTTTCAAGTAGCCGTCTGCACACAAAGGCTTTGTACCACCATTGCCAAAGGCATCTATACCTAATAAGCAAGCACTGGATCAGGGCCAGTGAGATGCTGTCACCAGGGACAGACCTCTCATAAAGCAGCATGACTCCCTTGCTTCAGGTGGCAAAGTGGGGAAGCAGCAAAGTCCTTGTGCCCAGGAATGCCCCTTGAATACCACACCGATCCAGCCAAATGGCATTACAAGAGGTGCTCCGGGGAGCCCAGCTGGCCACAACTTCACCATCCTGAGACTTTGGTGATGGGACGGTATAAAAAAGCCTTTAATACATAAATGATAAATAAACTTTATTGCCGTAGCCCCTTCCATTGCCAGTGGAGGGCAACAAAAATGATCCAGGGTTTGGAAACACTGCCCTACAAGGAGAGACTTAGAGAACTAGGCATGTTCAGCCTTGAGAAGAGAAGACTGAGGGGGGACATGATATCCCTCTATAAGTACCTCAAAGGCTGTCACAAAGGGGAAGGTCAAGATCTCTTCTTGCTGATGCCAGAGTGTAGGACACGGAATATCAAGTCGTGACAACCCGGTTTAGGCTGGACGTCAGGAAAAGCTTCCTCACTGTCAGAGTGATATGACAGTGGAACCAGCTACCTAGAGAGGTGGTGGGCTCTCCCACACTAGAGATATTCAAAAGGAAAATGGACAGCCATCTGAGTGGGATGGTGTAAAGTGGTGTCCTGCAACAGCAGGGGGGTTGGACTTGATGGCCTTCATGGCCCCTTCCAACTCTACTATTCTATGATTCTATGACTGTGGCCTTCTCTGAAGAGCCATGCCATGTTCTTCCAAGCCCTCTCCTCTTCCAAGCCCTCTCCTGCCTCAGGTGATTGGGGAGCTGACACTGATTATGACAGAGCTGGATTTTGAAACATTGTAAGCAGCTAGGGGGACTCGAGTCAAGACATGGGATGTGAATCTATTAAATAACTCAATTCCACAAAGTGAAGCAAAATAACCAGGCAACTGGCATTCCAATTAGCTACAAATGTGTCAACCTATTCTGGCTGTAAAGTCTAGATTTTGTCTTGCATCGTTTTATTGCACATAGTGCAATGATAGAATCACAAACTGCCAGTTCTATCTCAGCATTAAATTACCCCAGGACGATTTACAAATGATATGGAACCCTGCAAAGACTCAGGAGTAGAACAGGTGAGTTAATACGATAAGCTTCTATAGCAAATGTCTTCTTATGAAAACATTGCCCTGTGAAAGACAATGGTATAAACTCAGGCTTAGCATGACTAATATCATGGCACTTAAAATTTTCTCTTTGCTTTATGTCATGGTAAAGATTTAACTTTTGAAGAAAAATGTTAGGTAAATGAATCAAGGCATACAAGTTCACAGACCTGGGTAATTTACCTTCAAAAGGAAACTGTTATTGTTTTATTCATGTGGTTTTGAGCAGCCTAGCTATATTTTCTAGAGGAAAATTACAGCACTTACATGCAACCGAAAAGAGTAACACATGAACAATAAGAGGTGATGCAATGCTAATGAGGATGGTGAGTGTGGGAGCTAATCATATTCCTGAAGATTCCCATTATGAATGGGCCCAATTGCCTAATAACATGCTGTTTCCTTTCAGATTCACATTTCTTAACAACCTCAGCTGCCAGGCAGACCAATGGTTTCCATGACAAAAAAAGATGCTAAAATCAATCGATCCATTTAATGCTCCAACACCTTTTTAAATTTAGTGACAACTTGCCAGGTGCCCTGGTTTGTTCTGCAATATCCGCTCCCCTCCACTCCACCTCCACAGGCTGTGAAGGCCAGAGCAAAATACCCAGGGCCAAAATGACAGCGAAACAGTCCGGAAGTGCAGAGTTTACATTAACTAGGCAGCTCCTTCCTGGCGCCAGGCAGACAGCTCGGACATCGTAGCTTCCTAAGTGTTGCTGCAGGTACGAAATGCACCAGTCAAGAAGCTGTGGTTGGAGAAGGAAGAATATTTGGAAGGTGCTGATGGAAAGCTTGGATGGGGTGGGAGGACTGGAATCTAGGCGATACTTTTTATCAAGTCTAAACTTTTTACTGTTTTATTATGTATTATTTATTAATTAAAAGCTTTAGTATACCCTTCAGTCAGCCATAGGCTCTCTGAATGATGCACAACAAGAAAAAAGACCAAATAAAAACATTGCATACTATCAGTTCTTTTTTTGTAAAAAAAAAAGAAAAAGGTGCCGGAACTCACATCTTGGGGTCACACTTTTACACTAAAAAAGATTTTCAATTCACCAACCTTTTTTGAAATAAAAAACTTATTTACCTTTTGCACATAGCCAGTCACTCTCCACACACATAAACATAATGGTTGCCACCGGCAGTAAGCACTCAGCATGTGACCACATGACCAATCCCAAGCTGAGCAGCGTCCCAAGCCGAGCAGTGCCCTCCCAATCAGCGCGGACACACAAGCAGCCCGCATGCACTATTTCAATGATTTTTGCTGCCGACCTGCTACTCCTGACAGGGCGATTCAAAATCACTTGGAAAAATCCATCAAAGAAAGGTGCCGGAACACTGTTCCGGTGCATTCTATGACAAAAAAAAGCCCTTTATACTCTTATCCAACAACATTCAATACATAACAAACAACAATTAATGTACAAATACTAATAAGCAAAATACAAATAATCAACCCACAATCATAATAATCAACCCACAATAGCACTAATGACAATAAAGATATCAGCTAATATAAAATCAAATAATAATCTTTAGCAATTGTAATACCAGGCAAATGAAAAGATTTTGGCTTGGCAGTGCAATGTATAAAGGGTCGATGCCTGGTGCACCTCTCTGGGGAACTAATTCCACAGTTGAGGCACCATAACTGAGAAGGCTCTTCCCCTCATGGCCAGCTTCCTTCCATCTTAAGGTGGGTCCTGAAGAAGGATTTCTATAGATTATCTTTTAGCAACATAGAAAGCACTGTTTATAATGTAGCGTATAAAATTGCACTGAATTTACAGAGCAATTCTATTCATGCTTATTCAAAAGTAAGACTGGTGGTGCCTAATGACCTCAACATCAGTGGGGCAGTTAACCATTCTGGATTGTAGTCCAAATTGCTAAAGAGATGTCCATGGTGCTGAACCTATGCCAGATGGCAACAACCTCTACTTGGAGAAATACATCTTGGCTTTGAGTGTTTTGTATGTACCCAGTAACCACAAGAATAATCACTCATGCTGTGGATTTCCTTAGGTAAATATCTTCATTCTCTGCCGTACTTTTAAAAAACCGCACACTAAAATGCATATTGATCATTCCAAAAGAAAAAAAAATATATTGTCTATAACATGTTCCTTAGGGTTTCTTCAAACTTCCAATTACTCTGCTGGAAAAGAAGAGGAGCTCTCTATTCATCTGTGCTTAATCCCTCCACCTCAGATCTTCATATCTCAATGCTGGAGTCGAAAGCTGAAGCTGTCTGTGGTCCTGCCATATATTCTGAAGCTCCAAGTTATCCTGGATCACTGTGTCAGTTAATGTACAAACTCAGTTCCTCACCGAGGGAACATAGTGGACCTTAAAATAATACGTCCATTTGTGGTAGGAGATTCGAAGCCAGGGATCACAGATGGACCAAGACTAGGAGCTTGAAGAAACACATGTTGGCTTTGGTGCCTAGATATAGATCCAGTCTTGCTCAATCTTTGTTTGTTAGTTCCAGTTGCTAGGAGCAGTTCTAGCAGTAGTTTACATACCAGGTTTTCCACAATGCTTTTACTCAAAACCACTTAAAACAAACAAACAAAAACGGAAATAAATGATTGCTGTAATTGTAATGCACTACAATACAGCATTAACTCAATTACAATTCATTTAAAACTTTTCCAAATTTAAAGAAGTGCAAGACCTACCAGTAATCAGTGAATACTGTTCAGTACCAATAACATTTGTTATTCTTTTATTGTGAATTTCAACAGAGCAAAA